TGAAAGTCAGTCTCTACTGCGTTTGAACTTAATTTTGATTATTTGAAACAAGCTTTGGATCGTTTGCATATTATTCTGTTCTGACTGTAACGTTAACGCATGACCCCGATCATGCGGTCGACAGACGTTCATGTACCGACAAGTTTTGCTTGTACGCTTATACAGTGTTGGCTTATGAATGTTTGTATACACAATTTAAACATTCCTTGTTACAACAATTATAGCATATTCATCTCGTTATATTTTATTGTTTATTGGAATTTGCCATAATCGCCATACTCGGCATGCGAATTTTAGTCATTAAATTACTAGGGGTCTCGCACCTTTGAGGCTGGTTGCAATGGCCGGACTAAGTTATTTATATTTTACTCTGACATCAGCGATGACTATGGTACATCGTTATTTATCGGAGACGACGAGGTCTAATACTGGTCTTTTACATAGTCACCTCTTACGACTTATGACAACGACGCCAATAAATGGGGTGATAGGGTTGACGCAATGGCTAGTTGCAGCGCTAAGGGCCGCGGGTTCGAATCTCACGCGGACAAGTATTTGTATGGCCTGCAAATAATTTATCTTTAAACCGGATCTGGATGTTTGTCCTTGTGAAATTTATGTATGTAATCTGTCCCCACGCTACAGGAGAAAATCCTAGTGTGGAAAAAACGTGTTTTTTTTAAATAAGTGAACATAGAAAAATAAGAGAACATTGATTCTTCACAGTCGCCACGCCACTACTAGGCAATATGCCGTATGGACGAATCCCACACGGAACAAGTTTGTTGGGCCTACAAATAATTGTTTCGGATCTGAATGCGTGTCCTTGTGCAATTTTAATTTTTGATTTTAATGAATAAATAAACTAAAAAAAAAATAGACTTGCATCGTTAATTATTCTAGGTCTCTTAGTGATAAACTTGTGGCTATTTGATTTTAACTACCCCTTTTGTTTTATAATCTTATATTGACAACCTACTAGCATTGCTTTATATAGGTCTAACAACCGGTTTGTAGGCCTAGGGAGGTCTAAATATTAAATACCTATACCGACGAACTTGAATCAATACTTTGGGGTTTCAGGTTCTCAGGAACATATATGAGAGTGAGGGAATAGAGAGTGCACCTGTGCTCGCGAACACATTTGTGCACTTTAACCCTATCTTGTGCTGATGGCTATTCTCTATTGAGACTTGAGACTGGCGCCGTGAAAGACTAAAGTTTTATGTACAAGATATCAATGGGGGTCCCAAGATTTTCAGACTTCCCTCTGTCTCCACTCGTCTCTTTGCTGGTCTCGTATAGCTTGTCAAAGGCGCCATGTGCGTCGTACACCTGCAGGAATATTTGAATTTGATATTTTAAATCAAAATGCTGTAGTAAAAGGTTGTTTTTGTTGACCCTGCTACGTATAAAGAAAATGTTTTTTCATTCTTGGGAGGACAATGAAGTGCCTCAAGATAAAATTTGAGTGAACCAAAAACAAAAACACTATTTTAGTATGGATTCAGAACGTGATGATATTGAATGCCCTATTAACTTACTATATATACAGGTGGGAATGACTCTGACATTTCGAGTGACGAAGAATAGTGTCCATCTTAAATTTGTTTATGTTTACCTACTTATTTCTATTTTCATTTATATTATCTTTGCTACCTAACTATATATAAATATTATATATATATATATATATATATATATATATATATATTAATAATTCGTAAATAACTTTTATTATTAACAACAAACTAAAAAGTAATAAAATAAAAGCAAAATAATAAAATAATTGCGCCTCTTGGTGTACCGACCGACACTATCTTAGCGAACATATTATACCTGCGAAATATACATGTTGTAACTAAATTGCCACCTTTTTTGAACAAATATAGTTTTTGTAAAAAATAAATGTACTTTTAAGAAATTCGGGAGTAAAAATTACAAATAAATTTTTAATCTTTATGTATTTTCCGTATATATTTGTTATAACTCTCTGCTTAGCCCATCAATGATCTAACCAAATTACCTTCTACCTTACCTTTAAAATAATTACAGGAGTCTGAGCAAATTAGATTCATATTAAAATAAATTAACAATCACTTTTAATTAAATTAATACATGCTCTTTTTCTTTCTTATTTCATTTTACATTCATGATGATAAAATTCTTTCCGTAAAACTAAAGTATAAAAAAGCGATAAAATATAGTAATTTTCGTAGTATATTATTTTTCTTTAATACGACTTTACTTTTCGGACATAAAATTTATTGCGCACATAAAAACACAATTTATTACACTGAAAAGATAGAAATTATGATCCACCATACCAAAATCATGTTATTCCTGCGCACTCTCTTCGGAATATATTGTCTTGTTTGTTTTTTTTTTTTAATAAAAATATTAAAGTAATTTGAAATAAAACCAAATAAATATAATAATGACGTAGTTTTCCTTTAATATGCAGAAAATGTACAACTGGTTCCATGGCTATATATAATTTACATATTTTCTTTAAAAAAAACTATTTCGAAGCGTAATATAATTGTATACACATGAAAAATTACTTAAAATACTAAGCTGTTCATATTTCATATATTATAGAAACTGCTCTGTTATTTCATATATTATAGAAATTGACTGCCTCGTTGGTCTAGTGGTTGTAGTGGTGCGACTGCTGATCATGAGGTCCTAGGTTCGAATTCCGGGTCGGGCCAAAAAATCAATTATTGAGTTTTTCCGTCAAGAAATTCTCAGTAGCTGCCCGGAGTCAGGAAGTTGGCGGTGTCTCACTCCCGTGCCTCGGAAAGTACGTAAAGCCGTTGGTCCTGCGCCTGATCTCTCTCCGGTCGTGTCGGTTTACCGTCCCATCGGAATATGTGAGTGAGGGAATAGAGAGTGCACCTGTGCTTGCGCATACGCTTGGGCACTATAATACTGACCTGCGCCGATGCCTAGTCTCCGTTAAGGCTGGCCGCCGTGACCGAAATTCGATCTGGAGGACATTATTATTATAGAAACGTAGTGTTATTCTTTGATATAAACATAGTAAAAACCTGACTAAAGGTAATAAATATAAAACAATGGTAGATGTAAACTGCAAATTTTAATTTTAGATTAAAAATTAATACCGTCTTACAATAAATAGTTTATAAAATTAGTCTCAGGTTTAAGCTAGAACAAGTTTCACGAAAGAAGTCAGGCGGTAATATGCGATCTTTATTGTAAATTGTAAAACAAGGAATTTGACAGCAAATGTCAAATTTCGCGAAGACTGTGGCGCCGCGGCTAAGGGACTTCTTTTGTAAGAAGGACTCCTCTAAGCCAGAGACTCATAATTAACCACGTTTTGTAATAAAACGAATAATGTTCACTTAAACATAGTGATTATGGTACAAAGTATGCACATAATATATGTACATAGAACTAAAATATACTTAATTACTGCGCAATTTTACAAAACACTGCTCTTAAAATTACATATATAATTTAAAAAAAAATACGTGATTTATTGCATTTTGACAATTTTATCAACTTGAAAATATCACAAAGCAAGGGTTTATTTTTCGAAATACAACGTAATCACATTGGACTTTTATTACCATATAAAAACTATAACTAACTAACTAACTAAGCGGAGCGAGCGAAGCAAGCGAAGCTCCCATAGCGCAAGAAAACGATTCTTTTAAATCTATCTCCTCCGTAACCCGTAAGCAAATTTACATAATTTTTTTCGGCAATATTAGTAACTCAACGCACACAAGGTTTGTAAACAATAAAAATCTGAATTTAATTTTTTTTTTCTTTTACTATCTAATCAATTCGCTAATTTACATCTGCGCAATGTCGCACCATTTGATTGAATTTTTTGTGGAAATAAAGATAGTTATGAGTTTAGACTTTGACTACGCTCCGTTTATGATGCTAGCAAAAGGTTTCGCTCCGTTTATGATACTAGCAAAACCTTTGCATCTGCATCGGCCCTAGTATAAATATAGTCATTACTTAGAATATATTGCGTGTTAGATATCCTATACTGATTTATACCTACCTACTGATGGCTATGAGATGATGCTTTAGAAAACTTTGATTCTGATAAATCTTTACCGATATATCAGTTGCTTTCATCACCATCATCGTCATCATTTACAACCCATCACAAGTCCACTGCTGAACATAGGCCTCCTCTAAGAAATGCCACAAAGTACCGTCCCATAGCTGCATCCATTGACTTCCTGTATCTCTTACCAGGTTGTCACTCCATCTAGAGTATCAGTTACTTTACAAACTCAAAATGTACTCTTTACCTTTCGTTCAACATTAATTTCATGCAAATCATAAAATATATCATTCAATTAAAAAAAAAACATGTTTTATTGTAATCCAAGATTTCGATGACTTAACTTGCAAATCGGCCAACCCACTTTTGACCCAAAATGATGTTTTTAAACGGTTAAATGCGAGTAGTCTTCACCCACAGTAAGCAAAATGAAAAAACTCCTTAGCATTTAAACAGAACGCAGAAAACAGTGTGCACGTAAACAGGGCAACTCCCAACTGAGACATAGCAACACCGAAAAGTGGCTAACTCCTACACCGGGCGCCATTTTGTACTGGACAGTGACACAGAAGGATCCGCGCTTGAGGGCTGAGTTTACTTTTTCCAAACTGAGTAAGTAGTTTTGTGGTAAGTAATTTTAAATTATATTGCATTATTCTTCTAAATACTTAAAAGGAATATCACTTTTTACCTATGAAATTGTGACGATGGAGTTATCCGTTTTTCAGTGTGATATTTTGCGTTGATTTGGGAGTTGCCAGTTTTTTTTTTGATTTCTCTTCAATTCTATTTTTTTTTTTGGTTTTGTTTATTTGCTAATAATTGTACAAAATCTGTTTTAATACAAATTATATCAGATTTACCAATATAATGATATTTATTTTATAAAAATAATCATTAAAATATTTTGTAATGCAATTTGTTGGTATTTCAGCTGTAGAAGATGTCAAGGGCAAAAAAACTTATTGAAGCCGCTTTAAAGAAAAATGACATAATTATCACAAAAGAGTCTATTGAAAATATGCCTGTTATATTGGTTGCTGGTACGGCAACATCTAATGTTGCTTCAGAGATCGTTACGGAATTTGATCCTCTATCTGATTGTATTTCAACATCCGACCTTGCTACGGAGGTAATGGAAATTGAGACACTGCCTGGTTTGTCGTCAACATCTGATGCTCTTCTTACTTCGACAATAATGGTCATTGAACAAATATCTGATAATTCATCCGGCCTCGTAACATCGGTTACTCAGGAATGCATAGAAACCACCACAACTTCCGAGGGTACATCACGTAATGATAATAATGCTATCTTGATGGACAACTGTTTATTGGATGATATTGAATGCTTGGATGCTGATGATTCATTCAGCCTATTGACATCAGTTACTCACGAATGCATTAAATCATCTGCACCGGCTACAAATTCCGAGGGTGCATCATGTAATGATAATTGTGCTGTCTTGACTGAAAACAATTTAATCGATGATATCGACTTCGGGAATATACCACTTGTACCTTATTCTGAGCATTCCGATTCTAATAGTGAAGAAAAACCAAGGAAAATTAAGAGAAGAAAAAAAATGTCTGGTAAACAAAGCTACATGGAAAGATCAAAAAAACAAATTAAATAAGGAAAAAGGGAGGGAGTATACTGGGCGTAAAAAATTGATGGAAAATGGGAAGAAACGAAAAAGACAAAACGAGTTCTTAAGCCTCGATGCAAATATAATACGACTGTCAAAAGTGCTTTGAAATGCAGTGAAATTCCAGAAGATGAAAGAAAACTACTATTTGATAAGTTCTGGAGGATGACTTGGGGAGAAAAAAAGGTTTTCGTGAATGGATTTGTACAAAAGATACCTACAAAACGGCCAAGAGACAGGAAAGACCCATCTTTTACAAAACGAGAAAGTACAATGATATATAACTTGCTTTTGAAAGACGATCGTCATGTAAGAGTATGCAAAACGATGTTTCAAAATACTTTATGTATTACCAAAATGTCTATCTTGAACTGGTAAAAAGGTGAAGACAAAATGCCTGACAACAAAGATAATGTTAGAAAAAATCCTCACGAATCAGAAGTAAACTCATTTAAAGAGTTTTTGAAGAACATTACAAAAATGGAATCGCATTATTGTCGTAAACACACATCCAAGCTTTATTTGTTACCAGAATGGTTATCAAAGAAAGCCCTCTACGATTTCTACAAATCAGATTGGTGCCCGTCGCAAAATATCGAACCTCTGTCAATTGCGAAATTCAGCAACACGTTGAAAATTGAAAATATTTCATTGTTCAAGCCGTAAAAAGATGAGTGCGAAAAGTGCCTCTCTTACAAACTCGGAAACATACCAGAACCAGAATATAGAGAGCACATCGAAAGAAAGAATGAAGCCCGAATAGAAAAACAAAACGATAAAAAGACTGAAGAATTTGTATTTACAATGGACACACAACCTGTGCTACTGGCACCTAAATCTAATGTTTCGTCTCTATATTATAAAACCAAGCTGTGCACACACAACTTCTGTGTTTTTAATTTGAAAAACACGGACGGATATTGTTTTCTCCGGAATGAGACGGATGGTGGGCTAACCTCAGACAACTACGCTACCATAATTGTCAAATTTATTACAGAGAAACTACTGCCAAACATCCAAAGGGAACCTGAAAAGGAAATAAAAATTTTATTATACAGCGATGGATGTGCAGGTCAAAATAGAAACATAGTACTGGCAAATGCTTTACTAAATGTTGCAATATTAAACAACATCACAATCGAGCAAAAATATCTTGAAGTCGGTCACACTCAAATGGAGGCCGACTCAATGCATGCCACTATCGAAAGAAAGCTAAAAAATAAAATAATCCATGTACCAGCTGAATATGCAGGAGTTTGTCTTGGAGCACGTAAACAGCCTAAGCCTTATAACGTGTCCCATCTAACTCACAAATTCTACAAATCTTTTGAAAGTGTCCAATTCTACAAGTCAATAAGACCAGGAAAAGCCAAAGAAGATGCCAAGGTATCTTCGATTATATTTGATAGTAGATTTAATGTTATTTTATTAGTCTTTTTTTAGAGATAAGTAGGAGAATGGTAACTAAAATTTTTATTTTTTCAGGTCACTGATATTCGCGCGTTGCAATATAAAACAGGGAACATCTACTTTAAGCTAAGATTTACTGATGAATGGCAGTTACTGCCACAGCGACGTAATGAAAATATTACAGTAAAACCAATCGAAAGCTTACCGGATCTTCATAGAAGTCGCCTTAAAATAAACAGCCGTAAATTCAACGACCTCCAGGAGTTAAAAAACACCCTATCGTCGGACTACAGAGACTACTACGACAATATACCTCATGAAGACTAAATATTAATCTAGTCTAAGATATAAATATTAAGTATAAGATATAAATATTAAGTATAATAAAGTAAAATAAAATATTTTTGACCAAATTATAGTATTTTTAGAGATAAGTAGGAGAATGGTAACTAAAATTTTTATTTTTTCAGGTCACTGATATTCGCGCGTTGCAATATAAAACAGGGAACATCTACTTTAAGCTAAGATTTACTGATGAATGGCAGTTACTGCCACAGCGACGTAATGAAAATATTACAGTAAAACCAATCGAAAGCTTACCGGATCTTCATAGAAGTCGCCTTAAAATAAACAGCCGTAAATTCAACCGACTACAGAGACTACTACGACAATATACCTCATGAAGACTAAATATTAATCTAGTCTAAGATATAAATATTAAGTATAAGATATAAATATTAAGTATAATAAAGTAAAATAAAATATTTTTGACCAAATTATAGTATTTTTTCTTATTTTTCGATACGTACATAATAATACAGAAAAAAGGACAACTCCCATTTTTTGAATTTTTTTAAAAGCTAACTCCAAAAATCTAAGTATAGGGTATTTTATCAATATATTTCTCTGTAATTTTTGATAAATTCCATTTACAAAATAAAAAGACACCAAATAGATTTTTGGAATTTGGATAATATAAGTAATAACTGTTTAAATGATGTTTTTTCGTTTTCCTATACAATTTCATAAAACGGAGATAGACGATTTGCAAGTTAAGCCATCGATCTGGCACATGATAAAAATTCTAAAGAGAAATAATTTTACAGGTAAAATATCTATTATAAAAATTTGATGAGAATATAACTATTTAAAAACTTTGTTTAATATTTAAAAATCTTAATTATTTTGATACTATATTGCCTTAAAAGTATACACGTATTACATATCAATAAATTAGATGTGGACTATTTATGATCAGTGCTGAGTCCTTACGATAAAGCATAACAGCAAAATTATAAAAGTCGTTTGATGATTTTCACGCGAAAACGATAGCTACCATGCTGTTCTGCTTGTGACGTCACTGCTCAAGTAAATAAAACAATTTTGCAAAAGATTAAGATTAATTTGGATATTTAATAATTATTTATCATCTTTATTAATGGTGTGTTGTGCCTAACTGCAAAAATACGAGCATAAGAAAGCCGGGGATTCAAGTGCCAACTAACTTAAATATGAGAAATACTTGGTTAAAACTGGCAAGAAGATACCCGAATACATTGGCTACAAAAACTAGACTATAATTATGTGAAGATGTAAGTATGACTTATATTTAAGGGGCAATAGTACAAAATTAAGGGTCTATACTACCTCAAATGGCTTAGCAAGATCCTCCGTTATGGCGAAAATATTGCAGCATTAATTTTGAAATAAATATATAGTAAAGTTAAGAATTAATGTTAAGGTACTATGTTAGACGAAAACACGATTCCGTAAAATTTTCTCAATAGAAAAAAAATTAAAAGTTACCTCCAAAACTGAACAATAAACCGCTGGTATTCATAAAATACTTTAAATTAGATCATGAAACTTTGCATATTAACTGAACTAACTATAAAGCAGGGCTTATGTTTTTTTTTTAATTAACATAATTTTCACTGTAAAAAGATATTACCTAAACTATCGGCATCTTGAAGCTTGTTCCCTGCCGCCCGATCACCCGATCAGTTTCGTTTCGGCTTTCGAACGGGTAAGCTGTGTCGCTTACGATCAGAATACATATTACGCAACGTAAAATTAAAAAAGACAGGACGACATAAAATTAAAATGGGAAATAACCTCAATAAAAATAAGAAGCGACTGGGTTGGCGTAAAGAAACAGGCATAAATATGATAAACCTAATGAAATAAGTATCTAACGATCTATCTACTTACGGCATTAGTGATTACAAACATGTCGGTACATAGCGTACGAAATTAGAATTTGAGCTGAGGTAGTATAAGCCCTTAACTATCGTTTATACAAAACAACACATCGTGAAGTTGATAGGTATTGCAAGTCAAATTTTGTAAGAGATTATGTTATCTTAGATATTATAACTAATGATTGCTAATGATTGTAATTCTAGATAAATATAACTATGTATTAACAAAATACACTATGACCTGGTATTGTGTTATTGTATAAACTAAAATTGTTAATAGGTATTTATATTGATGTTCTAGCATTCCTCAATTCGGCAGAATAAAAAACGGGTTCTACTAACTTTATACTTTTACGGATCCGTCTTCCACTCTTCCATGATGCCATCAATCGTGATGATAACTTGAAATTTTTTTAAATAACACACAACACGTTAGCTTGTTTACTTTATCAGTGACGTCACGACGGATTCTAATATGGCGGATAGCATTTTGAAGATTTGAGGCAAACATTAAAAAAGTATTCTTAAATTTAATTACAAAATTTATAATGCATTTTTATGAATAAAAATCAACATTTCAAATTCACTTTTTACAAATTCTGTCATAAATAATATGTATTTTTACATGGTGTATACCTTATTGACAGCTATGACGTTAAAATATGGCGCCGGCCAGTCATTTTCTTATATGAATAGCTTAGTACTTACGTAAGTACATTACATTTCAATGATACCAAATTGATTATTGTAAATTATAGGCTTCTGCATTTTTAAAAGATAATTGGGTCCGAGAAAAAGTCTAACAGCGATGAAAAACGTAGATAGTTTACAATACGATAAAATTACGTACCTATTGAAATGGTTAGATTTTTTAAAAATAAATGTAGGGAGCCTCTACGATAGACGTATGTCCAGTTCTAAGAATTAGCTTCCTTCCAATTTAGAGGGGTTTTGTGCATGAATGAAGCGTTGCCCGAAATGTTCTCGAAATATTTTTAATTTGTGAAACATGCAGCTTTTTTCAAGATGTTAAGATGATTCAGTAACAAACACGTCAATCAGGATGTATAATTTTGCCTAAAAATCTGGTTGTGTCGGTCCCATACAAAACATAAAAGTCTCTCCTTACTGGAAGTACTGACTAACTTAAAGCTATATGCTTATTTGCCTTTTTAACTATTGTCTACGGATTTATCATAATTTATTATTAAGTCAATGGGCAAACACAAATAATTCAGAACAACTGCTCCAAATCATCACATCCAAATTAAGAAGGAATGCATTAAAACAGGTTGTTATCCCTCCTCTATACCAGCAAACTGTTTTCAATAAATAGCACTTAAAATTATTTTTAGATGTAAATTTTATTATAATACTATATTATAGTTTTTACAAAATTTGCTAAGTAATTATTATCTACAAAGAACACGGGTACAAAGACGGTACTTGTTTGGCCCACCGAACATAGGTAATATTGAGATATTCGAAATATTTTTTACGAACTAGAACTTGCATATTTCAAAAATCTTATTAATTTACCACGTTTTTATTCAGTCACTTCTGGGTCTGTATGTCAGACCGTCGTTCAGTATTTAATAATTGATTTTAAACTCACTTCCCGATGAACTGGAAACTTGATATTTTAAATATAGCTCAAATTCGGATGACAATGCAAGAATATGATAAAAACGTGGTATATTAAAAAAATTACAAAATTAAAAACATGATCAACAACCTTGTTTAATTCTTTTAACAATCTTGTTTAACTCAAAAGATACCCAATAAGTATATACATTATGTACTTAGTAATTTAACTATAATGTCGACTAATTTACTAGTCTATGTGCCAAGTACACACATTAGTAGTAGTAGTTAGCGTGTTAAACATTTATAAATATCTTACTGTACTCTTTAAATAAAAACGTAATGTTTTAATATTCCTCGTAACCATAGTAATCGTCTTCGTCACCATTCTGCAGCATGGCGGCGAGTGAAATTTCTCCGCCTGCGTCAGTGGGCTCCGCTTCAATGTCATCATCGTCGTAGTCGTCCAAGTTTTCTGCAACAGGAGCTTATGTAGTATTTTTTTCTTAATGTGTATGTTTTTGGCCATGCCACCTTTACAACTTCGCCGGAATTGACTTGAAGGCGAGGACTTACGAGCTATTGTTGAGTGCGCACCTACTATTGAAGTGAGGCTTCTATAGCTAAAGGGAGAGGGGTTGTGGAGGCTAAATGTCAAAGGTCCCTCAGAAGGAGGTACGGACACCGGCTTTAACCACTATCGGAATAGATGTAACTTATCGAGTAAATATAAATAAGGGACACATGTCCGTGCGGCACTTTAACCCACGCATTAATCAGATATCGTAGCCAACCCTGTTTACAATCTAGGGCAAATTAGGGGCGCTCGGATGGCAAATACCGGCTCTGATCATCGGATCATCAAAATGTGTTTATATTTAAAGCTGGTATAATTTCTAATTTATACTTGTGATTGTTGTCACTTGGTGAAACTCCAGATTAATTTTTGTGATTTGGATACACACACTCAATTTATTACGTGGTGGAGCCACGCTGCAGCTATATCACAGTTGTAGCACGAATGGGTTGGCTCGACCGGGAAAGGACCACGCTCCCACAGAATACCAGCGTAAAATAGTAGCTTAATGCTGCTGTTTCGTACGGTGAGTGTAGAGAAGCGGAGACCCTTATTACTGGAATTGAGGCATTCCATCTTAGTCCTTCAGGGATGACAACGCATTTGCATTTTGATCCTTGATTGAGAATAAATGCGTATGTTTATGGGTCACAGCACCCACTTACCATAATAAACCTTATTGGACTGTGTGCTCGTTTGTCACCCAATTATATAAAAAAAAAAAACAATTGTATTAGTTTCACAATATTTATTTTAAATTATTAATATACTATTATATATTCTTATATAATATTATCTTATTCTGTGTTTATTCAAATCACAAAAAAAAAACTGGTATATTTTAACCTATTGAAAATCGTACGCGATTTACATCTAAATGTTATGGGTTCTGTGCTTAAATGTTTTTATTTGACTGTGTAGATTTATATCAACGACATTTAATATTACAGGGGCGTCATATGAATATAATTTGGATAGCGTTTGCTTTATATCATAGTCACTAATGGATAGTCACAGTTGCCACGTCTGTTTGATACGTGCGCTACATTAAAATAAAAGAAACGGTTATTTCAACATCACACTTGCAACACACTGATGTGATTCACCAAAGTCGCCATATTGCCACATTCGCCAGATTAATTACGACGAACCTGAGGCTTGGACAAAGACTGTGATTAATTATGTGATTTCATATAGATTTTTCATGGTTTGATTTTTCAGTCTCACAAATCCATAACCATACATACGTTTTAAATAATTTTTTCACTTACTATGATTTTCTTTCAATTTCACTACTACTTGTAATAAGATACTGATAATATCGCGTTAGAAAAAGTGATATATCGATATTTGCTACTGTTCGGTATTAATATTGATATTTTTATGTCACGTCCTCAGGAACACGCATTTGCAAGCAAAATATCCATGTGTGCACCGAGTGCCATAGTGCGTCCAGCAGTGAACATTTACGTGACGATAAAGAAGGAAAGAAGAAAGATGTGTGCGCAAGTCAAGAAGGTGTTCTATCAGTTTTTTAACTTTGGTCTGGTTAAGCGCTACAATATTTCCAGAGTAGACGATGACAAATTAGTAGTTAGTTTTCACCGCGTTCGAGGACGTCATCATTATCATTATCATCATCAAAAGTTAGTATTATCGTTTTGTATTATCCTAATGCCGGCTGTACACACTCGTCGAGAGCCTCTCACCAAGATTTTGGAGCTCTCAGGGAATTCGTGAGGGCACAAGGTCTATACACTTGTTGTATCAGTAGAACACGCTCGTTTTCCTCGCGAGAGTTACCGCGGCTTTTTGACTTGGCCGCAAAAAACCGACACGCGACCGAGTTGGTGAGGTCAGACGAGAGACAGTAAGTGAGAAGAGACGAGAGCTCCATGTAGACGAAAGTGTACCACCGGCATAATGCCTTACCAGGCTGGACTTGCGTGGTCGTAGGCGTGGGCGGCGCTGGTGTGGTGGGCCGCGCGCTGGCGGCCGGCACGGGGCTCGCCAGAGTCGGCGTCGCCTTCTTCTTACGTTTACGTGGCACTGGCGAAGCGGGGACGGTTTCTAACGGGGTCACGGGTTTTGAGCTGCGTAAGAAGTGTAATTTGAACATGGCATGGCATAAAAATGGAAGTTTACTTACGAGTGATATTACTTACTAAATATTCGCATATAAACTAGGAGACGAACGGCAGTATCTTCCTTAAAAAACTCAGAATAAAAATAAATTGCGATTGGCAACCCGCTCGCCAAACACAGCAGCTATGGTAAAATCTCTGTGGCATTTTATGGGAGAGGCCTATATTCAGCAGTGGACGTTTAGTGGCTGAAATGAGTGGATCGAACTAGAAGACGAAAAACCATCCATCCATCATGTAGGTGACGCTGTGGCCGACTTATTAGACAATCGATTTTATATTTACATTAAAAGTTCGGAGTGGAATCGTAATTCCTCGCGTCACCGACCCGTAAAGGACCATAAAGGAAGTACAACGTCTGCCGGGAGAGTTAGTAGTCTATAAATGTCTTTTTAAGAGTAACCGAACCGTTTCTTTGTACACAAACAAGTTTGCGTGGTGCAAACAAGGTAGTGTGATGGATACCTTTACATCTAGAATGATATATTTAATGTGAAATTAAGTAAAGTTACGGCCTGTATACATCCCACTGCTGGGCACAGATCTCTCACTTTTGAGAGGGCTTAGGGCCACGAAGTGTCCGCCGCACTGTCCCAATGCGTCTTGATGGACTTCACATTTCTTCTAAAATTTTTTAATCTTATTTTTAGACATGCTATGTTTTCTTTCACCGTCGAGCACATCGAAAATCAGCTATTAAAATTGCAATTAACAATTCATGAGTTCGTAAAACGGTGTTGACCGTATAGTCGCGAATTAAGCATATCCACTACCCCATATCCTACCGTGGGTGTCGACGTAGGGAAATATATCAGGAGATGGGCAGTAGCTTCTTCCTAATAATGACTAGAAATAAAAACCGCGGTTGCTAACGTGTCTCCACGCATGGCATCTATGGCAGTTAACCCGCTATAAGGCAATCTATGGTGGAGGCCAATGTTCAACAGTGGACTTTAATAGACTGTAACGGTAACGGTAGCGGTGTTAATAAATTAAAAGCCCATACTCAATCACAGGCTGCGAACTTCTAGCGGGCGTCGTCGGTACAGAAGTTGCGACTGGCGTGCCTGGCTGGTCCAGACTCTTCAGTATGTCATAGTTGATTTTCGAGCTGATCTTCTTCTCTGCTAGCATCTTCTCGATCGCTTCGCCCGCGGTGGCTGCGTTCAGTGCCACCTTCTTCTTGTAAGCGCCGCGGATTTTCTTCTTCTTGTCTTTACCTTCTTCGCGTTCTCTGGCGCGCATTTCTTCTTTTACTGCAATCAAAATATAAACCTTTAGGCAAAATAGCATGTAAGAGATGTACGAAGTAGAAGTCAGTGGCGTAGATACTATTCCAACTTAGTTTAAAATAAATCATTATGAAAATATAAATAAAGCTAGATATTTAAAACCAACTAAATTCAAATCATCTGCATCTTAGTTTAAGCTTAGCAAGAACGGATAACTTCCAACGCCATTTAGCATGAACCGGGCGCTAGATAAAAGTACTTTATAATTAGTAAGGTACCCGCGAGTGACAAGGTTAAAGTAAAGAAAATTTAAAACAAAATTGAAAGTATCCAATTTAGTCAACAGATTTACATAAAAATAATTATTTTAGTACAGATTTATTTTGTAGGGCCATGCTTCAGCTATATTATAGCTGTAGTATGAATGAGTCGGCTCACATGAGAATAACCACGCTCTCACAGAAAACTATGGCTTTCGTATGGTGAGTGTAGAGAACCGGAAACCTTTTTACTGGAAACGAGGTATTTCATCTTAGTCCACATCAAGTCGGCAACGTATTTTCATTTTAATTTCTAACCCAGGATAGATGTACAGAGGCCAGAGTAACCAATTACCCTCAGGTAGACTGTGTGCTCGATTGTCACAAACAAAATCTTATAACAAAAAACTATTGCTTGTTGGCCTTGTTACTATGTAATAAAAAAAAGGCTTCTACTTTGTTCACTAAATATACCCCATATTTTTATGGCAGTAAAAAGTCACCCTGTATAGGAATAAGAAAATCGAGCATCTCATTTTGTCCTGTGGGAGTCATAAAAGATAACTATAATTAAGACCAGAAAGATCACGTTTAAGTAGATAACGTTATACCATTTCATGTATTCTTAATTCATGCTTTCCAAGCTTATCAGTGAAGAATAGGGTGGTCCCACACTAGATGGAGTGACGACTTAGTAAGCGAAGCAGGAAGTCGATGATTGCAGTTAGCAGAGAAACGTGCTTTATGGTGTTCCTTTGACACCTATACTCAGTAGTGGACGTGTTGATGACCTGTAATGATGAAATGATGATGAAGAGCTCACTCTTTTGTTCCTTCAAATATCCAGCGTTGATGTTGTTCCACAATTTGGTTTTATACCGCGCCTCCTCCTCGGTCATGATGAGAGAGCTGATGTATTCCTCGTCTTTCTCATTCAGCAGCAGTTCATCGGCGCTGTGCAGATCTTTGCTGAATTGCGCCTTCGGCTCTGGCTTCACAAATTTATCCGATTTGTCTTCAGGCTGACCTAGGCCGATCACAGCTAGATCTGGACCTGTGAAAACAAACTTTATTTTTAATATGTTATCTTCTCGGTAGAATGTAGAATGTTATTGTTATGGGTTCAATTTTCAAAGTCCAAATTTTGGGTCACGTTTCAAGGTATGTGGAATTAGATGCTTAGTTCTTAGGAGTATATAAAATTTCTCATTTTTTGTTTGAATAAAGTACAGATTAGATTTTAATGAAAGCTTAATAAGATGTAATATAACATGTGATATACATTATTCAAATAAGGAACGACAAAAATCAGTTGCGAGACGATATCATAATTTTTCCGCAACATAAGCGAGACGAAAAACCTGCCCAATGTACAACGTACACAAGAACAGGCATCCTTCTAAAAACATTAGAATCAAATTGTGTGGACCTCACAATATCTCCACGTTTCGTGTTGAAATTAAGACCAAATAAATTCTAAACAAAACGTTGATTATTAATAAATGATTTATTTATAGAATAAGGGTGGCAAACGAGCACACAGTCCACATGATGGTAAGTGGTTGCTGTGATCCATAGACATCTACCACTTTCCTCGATTAAGAATCAAAATGCAGATGCGTTGTCACCCGTGAGGACTGAGATGGAATGCCTCATGTCCAGTAAAAAGGGTCTCCGGTTCTCTGCACTCAACATATAAAACACTTATAATTAAAATTTACTCACCAAGTCCCTTTTCCAAATAGAATTTCTCCTGTTTGGAGTTGGCGTTGTTCTTTCCACCAGTTTCTCGCGCGATCTCACCGAGGAGGTGCAGCGTGTCCTCTGCTGCGAATCTGGACGCATCCACATCTTCGATCGAACTTTCGTCTAAAATCAATGATTTATAAAAGTAAAATTAAACTAAAGATACAGACCATATAAGTGCTGCAGCTGGATATAAGCCTTCTCTAATTTCTGCTCTAGTGTGTTTTTATATATATGGGCGATAAGCAAGCATACATTCCCCCTGTATCCTGTAAGTGGAAGCTGACGACCATACACATTTACATCTATCATCGATTAAGAATCAAAATGGAGATTTATTTTCACCCTTGAGGATGGAATGTCTCATTATCAGCAAAACGGAACTCGAGTTTCCTACCCTCAAAAAAAATACACAGCAGCTTCTAAGTGCTGTTGTTTTACACTGGTACTCAGTGAGAGCGTGGTCTTTCCCCGGTCGATACGTCCCATTCGTGCTACAATCATAATATATCTACAGCGTGGCTCTACCGCGTGTTGGCGGACCTCACATTTCTTTGAAATGTTTCCTCAGGCATGCAGAATTCCTCACGTTATTTACGTGTTTTTACTTTACCGCCGAGCACGTGGTAAATTAGCACTTTGAAATTAAAAATATCACGTTTCGTGGAATACCACAGCTCCAATAATATATGGATGAAGATCTTATCTGACAACTGTGAAATCTTTCAGTTGAAATTAAGCTGATGTCGGGGTTCTTAGAACCAGATTGCTTGGAACAAAGAAAGATGTAAGTAATTGTGACAAAGAATAATAAGAAATCTCAGACGGGATCAGTGACGTCACGAGTGTCTCTAATATGGCGGACAGTGTTTTGCAGATTTGAGGTACAGACAAAAAAAATTCTTAAAACTGAAATATAACATTTATAATGCAATTTTATAAATAAAATCAATATTTCTCGTTTACTCCTTACAAAATCTATCAGAAATATATATTTTTTGATTTTTCTTTACATGGTGTAAAATACCCTATTCCCCTGGTGTTGCAGTTGCTCATGGGCGCCGGTAGTAACTTACCATCAGGTGAGCCGCATGCTTGTTTGCCCCCTCATCTATATAAAAAAAAACTTGCCTATGAGGCAGTCTCTAAATTACCTCCACTGTTAAGCAGTATGAATCAATCAATAATAAAAACCGGCCAAGAGCATGTCGGGCCACGCTCAGTGTAGGGTTCCGTAGTTTCCCGTCCGTCACAATAAGTGTTCCCACTTATAGTTTAGATTAGTAGTGAGTTTAAAGGTGGGTATCCATTACGTTCGCGCTCCAGCAGCGCTCCGCGCTCCTGCAACTGCTCCCGGTAGTGGGTACTGTTGTTTCCATCCAAGTTCAAAATGATTTTCCTAGAAAGTCCTTATAAAGTTCTACTTTTCAGATTTTTTTCATATTTTCTAAACTTATGGTTCAAAAGTTAGAGGGGGGGGACACATTGTTTTTTACTTTTAGAGCGATTATTTCCGAAATTATTGACATTATCAAAAAGTGATTTGAGTAAACCCCTATTCATTTTAAATACCTTTCCAACAATATATCACACGTTAGGGTTGAAATTTAAAAAAATCTCTTCCCACTTTATACAGGGTTACTGGTAATTCGACGTATTCCCGCCAAGGCATGATAGTTGGGGTCATAACCTATCAAATGAACCATAAAATGCATTATGCAAATGTGGACCAATTTCGAGATATTTAGGTTTTATTATTTTTTTTCAAAAATCCCAAAAGTCTGGTGTCAAAAATTTCTAAAAAAAAAACTTACAGCTGTATTATTTTCATTTTATTATTTTTACTTAATGAAAACTTGGATACTTATTTATCAATACTACAGTGTGCAAAAAGTCTCATCATTTACGAAGTAACGCTACTAAAAGTACAACTTTTTCCAAACAGAAGATAAGTAATTAAAAATAAAAATGATTTTGTGAAAAATAATTGTATGTGATCAATTGTGCATATCATGTTAAAAACATCCCTATTTATCTAGCTACCTAATGAAGTATCAACTTTGTAGTTTGCTTACGTAGAAACGGAAAAAAAAATTAAAGAATGAGGTCAGGTAGTCGAGTTCTAAGCAGACAAAGGAATTTGTGTTTTATTTTTAACCAATATTAATTAAGGAAATGAAACAAAGCACTTGATTGAAATTAGCTTTATTTATTTTAATACGATTTACAAATTTTGCTCAATATGGGAGCCCCTATTCCGTATACAGACACGCATTCGTTTTCTTAATTCGCTTTTAATAACGTTTGAGGTTAATGTTCGTCTTATGTCGTTTGTCGCGTTGATAATGCGGTCTCTCAGTTGATCAAGGGTCGGCACTGGCACATTGTCGCAGTACACGATGCTCTTTATGTGCCCCCAGACATAATAATCCATCGGTGTTATGTCAGGACTCCTTGCTGGCCATGGAATTGGTCCTCCTCTGCCAATCCACCGATGTCGATAATTTTCGTCCAGCCACCGTCGCACAGTTACACGACAGTGCGCAGGACACCCATCATGTTGATACCACATGTTTTGCCTTGTGGCGAGAGGAACATCGTGTAACAATCCGGATAAGTCCTCCTTTAAAAATATTTCATAATTTTCACCGTTTAAATAGTTTGGCAGAAAATAAGGCCCAATTAAATTGTCGTTAATAATCCCCATCCAAACATTTAGTGAAAATCTTCTTTGTGATTTATAAGGTCTCTTTTTTCCAGGATTTCTTTGATCTTTTGGAGTCCAAAAAATGTAAATTATGGTAATTTGTAATACCGTCTTGATCGAACTTCGACTCATCAGTCCACAATATTTTTTCTAAAAAACATTGGATCTTCTGCATCTGCGTTCAACATAAATCTACAAAAATCCAATCTTCTAACTGGATCTCCTTCTTCCATCACATGCACTGGTGTGTAGTGGTACGAATAAAGCCCCGCAGTATGCACTGTAGACCAGACCTTCCACTGCGATACACCTAAGCGACGGGCAACTATGTTCGTGGAAGTGGTTGGATCTTCTTGAAATTTACTCAAAATTTCTTCATCTCCCGCACGCGGTATACGGGGTATGCCACGTGGCCTGCCAGCATCACGTTGTTGCCTTTGAACATTTCCAGTCCCTCGTACTCTACGATACACTGCACTAAACACTGTGACATGGGGTGGTCTGCGATTAGGGTAGCGCTGTAGGTATTCACGGCGAGCAGCTGCAGCATCACCGTCACAATATCCATAGAGATAAAAGATATCTGCGTATTCCTCGTTGGAAAATGATTGCCTTGCATGATCTCCGCGTCTTGGTGGTTCCGCCGCCATAAAACTTTGAAACTCAACTTCTTTAGGTGTAACAGGGAGGGATATGCGCGCGTGTGTACGATGCCTGTAATACTGATGACTGATTGAACAGTTTCTTCTTGTTTAACTTGTTTCTAATTTCACACTAAATGTAAACAATAGCGTAAGTTCAAACGCACAATCTTTTACGAGCATTCCCGCAGCTGTTGATAAGGTTCCGAGAAGCGATTGTTTGGGATTACCCAAAACATTGCTACTCGGAACTTGTCTACATGACCCCTTTTTATCAAGTTTTATTCTGTACTATTTAAGTTACAAGCCAAATTGATACTTCATTAGGTAGCTAGATAAATGGGGATGTTTTTAACATGATTTGCACAATTAATCACATACAATTATTTTTCACAAAATCATTTATATTTTTAATTACTTATCTTCTGTTTGGAAAAAGTTGTACTTTTAGTAGCGTTACTTCGTAAATGATGAGACTTTTTGCACACTGTAGTATTGATAAATAAGTATCCAAGTTTTCATTAAGTAAAAATAATAAAATGAAAATAATACAGCTGTAAGTTTTTTTTTAGAAATTTTTGACACCAGACTTTTGGGATTTTTGAAAAAAAATAATTAAACCTAAATATCTCGAAATTGGTCCACATTTGCATAATGCATTTTATGGTTCATTTGATAGGTTATGACCCCAACTATCATGCCTTGGCGGGAATACGTCGAATTACCAGTAACCCTGTATATAGGGGGGCTACCCTAATAAAACATTTTTTCCAATTTTTATTTTACCACTTTGTCGGCGTGATTGATACACATTGCTACAGCTTTCTAGTGCTAACGGTCGAAGAGATTAACCGAGGACGGACAGACAGACATGGCGAAACTATAAGGGTTCCTAGTTGTCTACGGAACCCTAAAAATGCTAGGTATCCTATTTCAGTAATAGTACTTATGACATGTTAAGTAAAGTTTATTGTCCTATCATCCTGCAATATTATACCATTTTAAAGTGTTTTGATTTATGTCAGTAAAATTGTAAAGTTATCCGTCGTTACGTTTCGTACCGATGCTTACTGTGGTAACTGCAGCAGAAGATGCTAGCTTTCTTCGTCTCGTATTGTCTTTTTCCAACTGTAAATCTATCTCCTTCTGTAACTCCGTCAGTTCCCTCTCGCCGTCTTCTTCTTCCAATAACTAAAATTAAAGAAAGAAAAAATATTGATGAAATCCGAATATAATATTTTCTCTTTCACCATAATAATATTACTTACATAAAATTAAGTTACAGCTTATAGGCCTCCTCGAATAAAAGGGTTTTAGGGCAAAGTGCCGTGAGCGAGTTTAGTGTGAGTTTACTTGAGTGTGTGAGAAAGTGAGTGAGTTTAGTTGCCGTAAAACGCAAATAACTCGGGTTCGATCCCCGTCGGCACAAATGAAATTGTTAATTATAATTTAAAGTGCTGGTGCAAAAGTTCGGTGGTGAAGGAAAACATCTCTCAAAATGCTCCCAAAAGAAGTATCTCCGAAGTTAGTTAACAGTTATGCCAAGTTTTTGCTGATGATGATGATGATAATTAACTATAATAGGATATTAAACACATCTCCTTAAAAATTTTGGTTTCTTAAACTTAAATAAAAGTAGAATGTTTTTCTGACGATGAAGATGCTTGAAAACTCTTTTGTTTGAGTAATCACATTACTTAAATAAAAAATTAATAGCGTAACAACTGTTTTGGACACTATTAGCTATTAAAAAAGGGTTGAAAAGAAGGGTTTTATTGTTAAAAACCTTAGAGATTTTATTTAAAAAAGTAGCAAACTTCGTCTAAGACAAATTTAGCTTAATATGTTCTAAATAGTTCAAGGTTTCATCCCCTTCAAACTTTGCACCCACTTTCAAAATAACCTGTATAATTGTTGCCTCAGTTCAGACCTTTTGCAGTCTCTCCTTGTCTCTCTTTCTAGCAGCTCTAAACGCTGGCGGGTCCTGTTCCTCCTCCAAATCCACAGTCATGAATTCATCGAGGGTCAGCGCACTTGATGGAGTGTCTCCAAACTCCATTAAACGTTTCCGGAGAGTAGACTCGTGGACTTTTACTATTCGCACTACGTCCGCCGGTGTCCGGGAGAAGTCGTGGAGACGGGCTGCTATTAGTAACGCTGGAAATACAAGAATGATAAATAATTGACTTAAATCAAGATTATGTCATTATATTATATTACAAATAATTAATAAAAAAAATTCACTGTTACACAGTGCTAGCTTTTGCTGTTGCACGTATGGGCCGGCTCGAAGCACGGAGGTACCACGTCCTCACAGAATACCAGCGTGAAGTAAAAGCTTTACTTCTGCGTTTCGTCTGGTGAGTGCAGGTGGCCGGAGGTCCAATCTCCCCCCCCCCCCCCGGCTTCAACATGGTAGCGGAAAAAATTAAATACTACCCCAGGAGGGTAGAGCTGAGCATCCACGACCAAACTACTGCACTTCTCCAGAGCATGGGTGCTCAGGCTGCCCCGCGTAATTTTGCTCAACACAAAAACTGCTCGGGTTAAAAATGGCTGCAGACTCCTTGCTACGGCAGATCCTATTAGCAGAGATCGTGATCCTTAGCGATTTTTGCATCAACCGGCGGATTTGCTTCTCGCCGGACGATCTCAGCATTGTTGCTGATTCTGTCGCAGGCAGATCCCAGCAATGGTTTGGTCGCTCCTGTGAAATAGCATCACGCTACAAACAGGAGTGCTAACGGGCCTGGGCTGACACATCAGCGTCTCTGGATGTAAGCACCAGCGCTCTTAAAAAGAAGTATAATTCCGCCTCCAGGTCCTTCAAAAGAGTCATTGTGAAGGCAAGGTTAGAGCATATCGGCGGTATTGGCGAGAAACTAGTTCGCCTTCCACCGGGAACCCGTGCATTCTGGTCACTTGCCAAGTATCTCATCTCTGCACGGAGAGAACGACTCATAGGCCCATGCCGCAAAGGAGAAAGCCGATCTGTTAGGCTCTCTCTTTGCGTCCAACTCGATAACGGGGGCAATATACCGCGGACCATTCCGGTTCGGTTCGCAAAGCACTCCTCTCCCTAGACGTTAACAATTTGAGTGGACCTGATGGAGTCCTGATGGACATATCAGCAATTGCATACCTTCGGTAGTTTTGTAAAAAGCCGATTGGGTTTGCTTGAGCGGAAGAAAAAGATATTTACATAAAATACAATACATGAACAAAAGAAAAGCATGAACAAAGTACAAGCAAACTATGTACAAAATTAAAAAAAAAATATTTGTATTCTACATCGATTTCCTCGGATAACTGGAGCGACAAAGATGTTTCAATCCGATATTTTCCAAAATTACTAAACCAAATTAACGGATTCATGTGTTTTTGAGAGTTCATATGTCTTTTAATGGCTCCAGTTAAGTTATTAAAATCATCATATCCGGTAGTATTCCAAGCTGTTTTCTAGTTGGAAAAGAACATCCAGCAACAACAGTACAACTTATTAAAAAGTTTAAAGATTTGACCTTTTCCTCGCCGATTAGCATTTAACACACTTCAATTCATCACAAGGAACACTATTATCCGACATTTTCACTAAAAATCTTTAAAAAAGCATAAATTTTCAACTCGCAATATTAATTCACTAAGCTCACAAGAGTAAATATTGAAATGTGAAGTGGACTTGCAAACGTATCGCCCGCGCGCCCCTCCGCTCTAATAACTAACTAACTTCATACTAAAAGCCTGGCTTTTCGTTTATAATTGCTATATATGTATACAATCGTAGTTATATTTCATTATAGAACATTTTGCCACACGTTAGAAAGGGAGCGATCGTTTTCTCGAAAGCCCAGTAAAAAGCCCACGCGTGCGAGTGAGACGACTAATCGCTCAATTCAACTCCTTTTATAAGACAGCAGTATTGCTAAGGCTACGAGGTCATGACCTGTGTAGAACAAAAGAGCGCGCGGGAAATTTGAAAGAGTTTGAAACAATTTACGAGTTATTTTATTAGTTGATATTATTAATTGAGATATTTGATAGGGCAAGCCGGGCTTTTTGTCTTCTATGGAGGCTTCGCCACTGGCCATCACCTCCTTGTTCTCCAAAATAATGGAATAAACTTTAAACTACCAGCTCATGAGGTACCTTAAGGTTCACCAGCTGATTAAGTTACCGCCAATACGGTTTTCATCGGGGTAGATCAGCTGGTGATCGTTTGGTCTACCTGACTTAAAGATGGGCGGAGGCAATAGAGTCCAAGGCATTCGATCGGGTTTGGCACAAAGCACTTCTTTCCAAACTCTCATCCTATGGGCTTCCCGAGAAATTGTGCGATTGGATCACCAGTTTCCTTGCTGAGCATCAAGGTCGCAGTAGACGGTGCACGCTGTGATTACAAGCCCATTAACGCTGATGTTCCACAAGTCTGCATGCTATTACCAACGCTGTTTCTTCTGCATATCAATGGTATGTTGCAAACTGGTAACATTTACCAGTGCTGTTGTTCACATAGCAATGTGAACGACAGCACTGGTAATGCTTTATAAATAAACCGGCCGTATCAATACTTTTCGGGAAAAAGTCGCCGAGTACTGGAACAAACGTGTGTCTGAAGTCGACTTTGTTGTACAAAGTATCAGATTAGGAGCGACTGAATCTAGTCCAGTTTAATCCCAAGAAGACACAAATTTGAGCGTTTGCCGATGAAAAGAACCCCTTGTCGTATCTCCTTAGTTTCAAGGTCACATCATCATGTCCACTCCCCTTGCTACCCAGTGGCGGCCCTAACAAAATTTTTATGTGGTGCGAGATCTCACAGTGGCGCCCCTATAAATACAAAACATTAGTGTTCCTATACTATGCAGTTGCTTTTTCGTGATTTTATTGCCACGTTGATCAGCGAGTAGTTTAAATAGCAACTGTTTCGGATCGCCGCTCACTTAGCCTTCAGCCACCGCAGAGACTACTTCACTTGTGGATGCATCGTGTAGAGGCGAAACACGTATCGTATTATTGAGAGTGGTGTGTCGTTCCTAGCGTGGTAGTGTTTGGTGTAGTGGTACTGGGAGTGGTGGCTACGGGGATAGTGCATGCAATTGGTTGGGATTGCATTGGGTTGGAAAGTGCTCTTCAGACTGGTTAAGACACATCTTTTTATTTTATTACGAGAATATGAGCAAATTACGTTCTAAAAACTTTAACAAGAACATTGAGTCAAATTCTGGTTTTCCAGCCATTTTCGCACCATCAATATACCCTTCACCTCGATAATCATTCATGTCTACGTCAAACACTTGTACAATTGCATCACAAAAGAAGCCAGTAAGTCATTTTTCAGAAGAGTGACTTTGTGGTTTGTAAGCAACAAATACTTGTGCTTTGACTTCCCGCTCGCCCGGTGGTAGCGTTTCGGTTGATTTCGCCCCCCCCCCCCCGTGACGGCGCCCGGTGCGGTCGCACCGCCCTAGGACCTCCACTTTTGCTGCCTCAGCTAACATCGGAATCCTTGTCGTCGACATTTCGCATAGTGTTCAGTTTCGTGGTCAGTTAGAAAGGCAACGCCTCTAAAACGCATGGCGTTCTCAGCAGAGCGGGACAGTATTTCATGCTGGCACACCGCTTGCACTTTACAAGGCGCAAGTTCAGCCTTACATGAAATACTGTTCTTATCTCTGGGCCGGGGCACACTAGTGCCAGCTCCTTTCTCTTGACCGCATCCAGCACAGAGCGGTTCGAATCGTTGACGACGAGTCCTTTCTAGTCGGCTTTTCTAGTCGGCTCGATTCACTGGCGCTGCGAAGGATTGTTGCATCACTTAGCATTTTATATCGCACCTATCACGGGGAATGATCTGAGGAATTTTTCGGATTAATTCCAGCCGCCAAATTTCACAAACGCACACGGCGTCAAAATTCACGATACATTGCACACCATCTGGATGCTTGGCGGTCCACAACTGTGCGTTCTACTAGGAGTTTTCTTCCTTGTACAACCTCTCGGTGGAATTGTTTAACACCGGCGATTTTACCGGACCGATACGATTTAGAGACCTTCGAGAAAAGAGCTTACTCCTTTCTAAAAGGCTGGCAACGCACCTGTAATTCCCCTGGTTTTGTGCAGTTGTTCGTGGGCGACCATAGTCACTTACCATCTGGTGAGTCGCAGGCTCGTTTAGCCCTCTCCTATAAAAAACTAAAGAAAAAACAAAACCTGTGTAATGGAGGAAGCAGCATTTCTATAGAATAAAATATTTCAAGGCATATTAAGCCCGACAACACGCGGAGCGGGGGGTGGGGCGCAACGCGGTGGACATTCCCTTGTTCAAACTTCTTTCAGAAGTGAGAGGAGGCCTGTTCTTAGCAGTAAGACGTAGGCCCGTTAAGGTTATAACTTTGCCTTATTCAATTGTAACATAGAGAAACCAAGTAACTGCTAGCACAAAATGAGGTAATATGAAGTAAGCCGTAAGACTACTCCGACGTCAGCAGCATAAATAAATAGAAATAAATAAATAAAAATTAAATAAATAGAATTACCTACCTATATCACATTATCCAAATACCATGACCCCGGAAATATTCATAACCAGTTTGTTAGATTTGAGTCTCAATATGTTTTGTTTTGTCGGGTTTTATTAGAATGTCATAAAGGTGAGATTAACATTTTTGGAAGACTTAGACAAGTTCGTATATTTATATTATTCCTTGTTTAGGAAGGAAAGGCAAATGAAAAGGAAATAAAAAAATATTACGTTGCAAGTCTTACCGGCTCCACATATGCCAGATGGTCGTCGACCAGAATGTATGGAATCCCTCTTCATTCTTTGCACGAGGCGCAATGCGGTCATGCTCACCTCATGTTGTTTTTCTTCGAATTGGAGCTGAGAGGCGAATCGCAATATGTATAAGCAAGGATCTGGGGAAGAAAAGAAATAATCCTATATATTGTGTATATTTTCATAGGAGTAAGGTTTACAAACAACAAATCTACACACACGCATTGGGGCAGCGCGGCCAACACTTCTTTGCCCTAAAGCCCTCTTAGAAATGAGAGGAGGCCTGTGCCCAGCAGTGGGACATATATAGGCTGTAACTTTAAATGTTGAAAAACGAGTATCTATGATCATTAATCAGTTAAGAATAAAAATGGTCTAAGATGGAACGCCTCTTTTCTAGTGAAAAGTTCTCGGTTCTTGACTGTTTGCTTAGTTATACAGAAAAAAAACATTAATTCCTTATTCACAACTAAATTAGATAATACGAAAATAAGTTTATAAACAAATTATATAACAGTTGGTATGTAAAAATTAATACTTACAACAAAATTAAACCTTTTTTGAAAACTTTGCCGTTTTTTGAGACAATCATTACTTATATTAAACGATATACATTTATTTATGTGTTTATTGTATATTCAAATTATTATACATTTAAAATTTAAATATTGTATTAAGGTAATGTTATGATGGCGTAAGAGTACTTACTCGCATTATAGGTACCTCATTTTGCATCGTGGGTTCGTGAGAGGCGACTATACCGGTAAAATCTTATGGTTTCCGATACATAGCGGCATACCATCTCGTTTATACTGGATAGAAAATATCTAGAAAATATCTATCTAACCGGCGACGGACAACAACGTCCAAATCTAAGGTTTGATAATAATACTGGGTATTTTTTTACCATTTTTTTTTATTTAATAGGGTGTAACAGTAACAGGTGAACGGAACAGAAGATTATGGCGCTCATTATATTAATATTTTTTTTTACATTCACATATTATGAAATGGTCTATCAATAAATACTACTAATTGGTTACGTTTTTAATTTGATTATTTATTTAGTTCAAAATATTTGTTTTTATTTTTTTATTACCGAAAGTTTATTTTAAATTAGTGGTATTTATTCATAGTTCAATTTAATAATATGTTAATATTAAACGCAAAAATAATGTAAAATATATATAGGCTTCTATTCCTATTTTTTCCAGACTGTAAAAAAATCATCCAGTATACATAGGTGATAAGTCGAGTATTTAGAAGCAGAACGTTTTAATTCAATATACATTATAAATAATAATTGTTGAAAACACTGTTATGCTTAATTTACCACTGGTTCGTAGAATATCTGTCCTGGGAAGAACGAGCTAGATACCCAACGGTACATACCTATTTTGTTTAAAAAAACACGTGGTAAATTTAAAAATCTTGAAAAACAGACTTCAACATAAACGAAATGAGAACACCATCAATGTGGTCGAAGTCAATTCTTTCCGAAGCACGGGAGTGAGACACCGCCAACTTCCTGACTCCGGGCAGCTACTGTAAATTTCTTGTCGGAAAAACTCAATAATTGATTTTTTTGGCCCGACCTGGGATTCGATCTCAGGACATCATGATCAGCAGTCGCACAACTAAAACCACTAGACCAACGAGGCAGTCAGAAATAGTACTACGTAGTATTAGTCTAACCCTCCCTCCCTCACCTCTGGTCTCCCCGCGTAGAGTGCGATAGGGACAACTGCAGCTTAGAACGATTTTACCTACAAAAACCATAACCGATCGACGTTTCGTACTCCCCTGTTTTCTCCAAGAAAACTAAGCCGATTAAATTATTTTTATCAAAATTTAAAGGAAGAATAGATCTATGCTCCTATCATTTTGTTTTTATCTTAAAAAGTTTCAAATTTCTTTGGTAGTCGTCACATTACGGAGGTAAAAACGGGGCACTTTATTTGGTTTTTGGAGTCTATTTATTTTAGTAATAATTTTTTAGAAAAAAATAAATGACAGGGACATGCCTTTAATAGACCTTGATTTTTATAAACAAAAAAGATTACTCTAGAGGCATTATCCAAGAAGAGAATAGAGGAATTTATTTGTATGGAAAAAATGCAGCCCGTCTACGCTCTTAAATACGCGTTATCGAGGATTACTCAAAACCTAGAATTCGGATCTTGATCAAATTTATATGGGACAACACGAGAAGCACCAGCTTCAGAAAAATCATCAAAATCAGTACACCTAGAAAAAGTTCTGAGGCTCTGAGGCATAAAAAATACAGTCGAATTGAGAAACTTTTCCTTTTTTTGATGTCTATTGAAAAGAACAGTTTTCAACTATCAAAATTACACAATGGGTGCGTTTGGCAGAAAAAAGCGCTAGCAAGTGCTTGTAAGCAAAATGGCGATCGTAAGCGGTAAGCGCTGTCAAATCGTAAGTAGCTATTTTCCTCCAGGACACGATGTTAGTTTTAACCGGGGCACCTAACCTAATTTAAATATATGTTTGTAAAGTATTCATATTAAAAACTTACCAATCATGAATTTTTAATAACATGTATATGTTTATTCATGTCATTATATTACTTAAAACTAATAGTGCACAAAACAACTTATAAACTCTACTTCAAAACAAACAAATTAAGTAAACAAAATGGCGGATTGTGTCAGCGCTACCGAAGTAGCAATCGTGTCCTGGCCGAAAACTATTTCAGCGCTTATAAGCGCTTGCTAGCGCTTTTTTCTGCCAAACGCACCCAATATTTAACAACTTCATTTCTAGGGGTTATCTCATATTTTAATCGCACTTATTATACAATGTTTTTTATTAAAAAAATAATAAACCTGGTGAACCTGCAAGAATTGTATCGGCTGATGATGAGTAAGAACAATTTTTTAAATTGAGCAACTATTAATTATGATTTACAATTTTAGAAATTCTCATGCAATAAAAATAAGGCTTTTGTCTCAGTCATGATGTTTTTATTCGTTTAATATTTTTAACATAAATATTTCGAGATTGCTCGTCTCTAAATTGTTGCAACTAAAAATTCAACAGTGAATTTATGGATTGTTGCATAAAGAAAAATTTTTATTCGTAAATTTGGAAGTTTTATAGAAGTTCGCGAATTATAAGTTAAATATTGTTTTACCATATTCAAAAGTTTTGCTTTTCGCCTCGTACTAAAATGCGACCACTATTTTACTGCCTTTTAAGTATTCATTAGAATTCATATGATTTACAAGACGATATTGACATTCAAACTCATCATTCTACTTTCGCGGTAGTCTTGGTGTTGTTGTTTCCGTCAATACGGTAACTAATATTATACGTGATGGTAACCAATCTTAAGATTTTGCAAAGTTTTTATTTTATTTCAGAGCTCTTTGCCTTGGCAACCTTGCGTTCCCACCTTAACTATTATTTTAGTCAGGAGACCTAAAATAAATCTCTAGTGCTGACACCCAACCAGCCAATCAGTAAAAATTTTGATAGATTTTTACTACTAACATCTATAAAATCTAGTCAAATACTCCTTATAACTACCGATTTAAGATTTCATGGCTGTAATGAAACTCGTGATAATCTTAGAAACGTAAAATAAATATTTATCAATTTACGTTTCAAAGATATTAATGTTTACAAGTCATAGTGCCCAGTCCCTAGTCACCAATCGCCGTCACAAAATATAAAGCCTGAGCCTTGCGGTTGAACGTACATAAACCGGTTTTGGTAAAATTATTTTCCATCAGTCACTAGTTTTATTTGTTATTCTTTAGACGATAAAATCGAAAACGTTTTTCAGGATTAGGTTGGTCTGGTGTCCAAACCTTTCAAAATATCTGACTAGACAAAATAAAAAGATCGGCTCAGCCTGTTCTCAGTCTATGTCTCTACCACTTCAATAAACGCTAAACAATGCATATTGCCCCAATGTATTGTTTTCCATTGTCTAAATGTATTGTTAACCTTGTGGACACTATTTGCTAATTAATCCGAAAACATGCATTCAAAATGGGTTAAGTTCAAAGATCTTAAGACAATACAATTAAGTAAATGTTCTGATATTCAAATCTATTTCACTGATTTGCAAGTTCAATTTCTAAATCAATTCCATATAACATTTTAGGTTTTATTAACCTTTCATACGTAATAGAGGCCACGCTGTTTCATGACGGAAGCGAAAATGTGTCGGCTCGGTCATAGAATAACCACTCCCTTAAATAATAAATTTACCATTATCTTCAAGTCTATATGTAGAATCAAAAGTCTATCAACAGTCTATATCAAAAGTCCAACGCTGAACACAAACCTCCACCACAGATTGCCTCTGAGGGGGAGAATGTTTGCTGTATTTGCCACGCTTTGCAAGCGGGTCAAGAACCGCAATTTTTTATCATATTGATTTGTTATAGCGTCCTATGTTCCTTAAATGTTTGTAGTGTCTTACGACACCAGAAGGACGATACGGGGTAGTGGATATTTTTACACCGCCCCTACATGGAACTACATAAGCTGGATGTGTTTCGTATGGTAAGAGAAAAAAATTATAGACCCTTTTTATTTGTAACGAAGCATTTCACCAGCACTTGGAGTTTTAATCGATGATAGATATCGATTTGTAGGTGTCAATGGGCCACAAAAACTACATACCACTTACTCAAACATACACTATACGTGGTAGAGCCACGCTGCAGCTATATTATGGTTGTAATACAAATGGGTCGGCTCGACCGGGGAATGACCACCCTCCTTCAGAATACCAGTGTAAAATAGCAGCTTAGTACTACTGTATTTTGTATGGTGAGTGTAGAGATCCGAAGCCCCTTTTTTACTGGAAACGAGGCATTCCATCTTAGTCCTCAGGGTGCCAACGCATCTGCGTTTTGATTCCTAATCGAGGATAAATGTCAATGTCTATGGGCCACAGCATCCACTTACCATCCGATGGACTGTGTACTCGTTTGTCACCCTTAATCTATAAAAAACCATATCCAACTAAATAATTCTAATCAATTATTATAATAAATACCTAAATAAAATTATATTAATTATATGTATAATAA